TTTGCCTCTGAGTTTGGGAATCTTTGATCAGAAGAATGACATGATCTGCCTGAAGTGGTTAGCAGGGTCACCTTGGCTGCTGTGTTAAGAGTACAATGATGACCCATAAGGGAGACCAATTAGGGGGCTCTTATAATAATCCAGGCAAGATAAAAGTGGTGGCTGCACCAAAGTGATACTAGTAGAGGGAATGAGAAGTGATTAGGTTTTAGACATATTTTCAAGATAGTGTTAAGAGAATCTGCTGATGACATGTTTATAAGATTGAAAAATAGAAAGGAGAGAAGGTGGTCTCTAGAATTTGGGACCTGAGCATCTGGAGATTAGAGTTTCCATTCCATGAGGACGATGGTAAAATAGCAAACTTAATTTTGTTCTCTAGCTACTAAACTATATTTTGAAGATGTATCAGGACTCTCTCCATTGCAAGAGGCAAAAAAATCCTTCCAAAATGGCTTAGTCAAAAGGGATATTTGTTGGATTACTAAATAAAAAGTCTAGGGACAAGGCTGGCTTTTGTCGTGGCTTAAATGAGGGGCTCAAATGATGTCATTAAGATCCTGGAGGGTTTTTTCTCCTGCTTTCATCTCATTTCTGCCTTTTCTTGGTTGGTTCCATTCTCAGACAGACTTTCCTCTCATGGTGGTAAAATGACTGTAGAAATCCAGCCTCACATCCTCACCACACTAAGTCTGGTTGAGACATCCTCCTATATAGTAGTTCCCTCAAAAATGCAGATATTGACATTTTTAACAAAGAGGTAAAAGATCTCTTCAGTGAAAACTGTAAAATGTTGATGAAATCGAAGACACAAATAAATGGAAAGTATTTTGTGTTCATGAATCAGAAGAATATTGTCAAAATGTCCATACTACCCAAAGCTCTCTACAAATTCAATGCAATACCTATTTCAGTGACATTTTTCACAGAAGTAGAACAAACAGTACTAAAATTTGTATAGAATGACAAAAGAGCCTGAATAGCTAAAGCAAACTTGAGCAAGAACAACGAAGCTGGAGGCATCACACTTCCTGATTTTAAAATATGTTACAAAGCTACAATAACCAAAAGTATATGACACTGGCATATGAACAGACACACAGCACAATGGAGCAAAATAGAAAGCCCAGAAGTAAAACCATGCATATACAGTCAACTGATCTTTGACCAGGACACTAAGAATACACAATGAAGAAAAGATAGTCTCTTGAAAAAATGGTGTTGGTGGCCAAGTGTGGTGGCTCACACCTGTAATCCCAGCATTTTTGGAGGCCAAGGCAGGAGAATCACTTGCGCTTAGGAGTTTGAGACCAGCCTGGGCAACAGAGTGAGACTTCATCTCTACAAAAAATAAGAAAATTATCTGGGCATGGTGGCTCATGCCTATAGTCCCAGCTTCTCAGGAGGCTGAGGTGGGAGGATCAATGAACCCGGGAGGTCAAGGCTGCAGTAAGTCATGATTGGGCCACTGCACTTGAGCCTGAGCAACAGAATGAGACCCTGTGTCAAAGAAAAAAAATGGTGTTGGGAAACTGGATATATACATAAAACAAAATGAAACTGGACCTTCATACTACACAAAAAGTCAACTCAAGATGGGCTAAACACTTAAACATAAGACCCAAAACCATAAAACTCCTAGGAGAAACATAGGGGAAAGCACCAGGACATTGATCTTGACAATAATTTCATGGCTGTAACACCAAAAGCATAGACAACAAAAACAAACACAAACAAGTGGGACTATAACAAACTAAAAAGCTTCTGTACAACAAAGAAAATATTTAATAGCAGGAAAAGGCAACCTATGGAATGGAAGAAAATATTTGTGAATCATATATCTGAATGGGGGTAATCTCCAAAATTTTTAGGAACTCCTACAACTTAATAGCAAAAACACCCACTAAGCTGATTTTAAAATGGGCTACATACTCGAATAGACATTTATCCAAGGAAGACGTATAAATGGCCAACAATTATATGAAAAGTTGTTCAACATCACTAATCATCAGAGAAATTCAAATCAAAACCATAATAAGATATCATCTCACGCCTGCTAGGTCAAAAAGTTAAAAAACTGTGTTTGCAAGGATGTGGAGAAAATGAAGCCTTTATATCCTGTTGGTGAGAATGTAAATTGGTACAGCCATTATGGAAAACAATATGGAGTTTCCTCAAAAAAAGTTTAAAAGTGAATTACTGTATGATACAGTATTCACCCTTCTGGTATTTATCTAAAAGAATGGAAATCCAGATACTAAAGAGATATCAGCACTCCCATGTTTATTGCGGTACTATTCGCAATAGCCAAGATGCAGAAACAAGTGTCTATCAATGGATGAACAGATAAAGAAGATGAGGGGTATGTGTATGTGTGTGTACATACTGGAATATCATTTAGCCTTTGAGCCTAGAGGACATTATGTTCCGTAAAATAAGCCAAACACAGAAAGACAAATAGTACATGATCTCACTTCTATGTGAAATCTAAAAAAGTTGACATAATAGAGAATAGAAGGTCATTACCAGGGGTCAGGGAGATGTTAGTCAAGGGTATAAACTTGCAGTTGTAAGATGAATACATTTTGAAGACCTAATGTACAACGTGATGACTAGAGTTAATAATATTGTTTTTTATACTTGAAATTTGCTAAGAGAATGGGTCTTACGTATTCTCATCACGAAAAGCAAAATAAGTGGTAACTGTGTGAGGTGATAGATGTGTTAATTAGCTTGATTGTGGTAATAATTTCAAAATGTATACTTAAAACATCATGTACACCTTAAATATATACAATTTTTATTTGTCAATTTAGACCTCAATAAAGCTGGAGGGAAAAAAGCAAAGATGATTCTTATCAGGCTGGTTTAGACATGTGTCAACCCATAAATCACTCACTGTGACTAACAGGATGGACTGTGCTGATTGGCTTCAGCCTGGGTTCTTTGACAAACCCTCATAGGATTCACCCAGACTCCAAGAACTGAGAGTGGGTAGGATTAAATTCCCTAACAAAATTAGAGACAGTTGCCAGAAGAAGAGGGAATGAGTTCTGGGGACATGAACAACAAATTTGAACAAAGTCCAAATTCAAAAAAATTTTAAACAATCACATAGCACAAGAATAAATGTTTTACCTCCTCCCATATTCTCTCCTGTGCCATCACATTCTCCCTTTCCCTCCATTTGCCAATCTTTTCCTTTCTCCTTTCTCCACCCTCAATACTTTAAAGGATTATACTCAAATATTCTAGTGGGTTTGTTAAAATACCATGCAAGTCTTTACTTCACAAACACCTTGTCTTTCCAAGTTATATATATATCAGGACACTCATGGATAAATATTCATACCCATGCCCACAATTCAGGCAGTTATACATACACACACACCCTCTGGAGTAAAAAATAACAGTAAAAAGAGCAAGTTTATATTCTGTGTGATCATTTTCAAAAACTAAATGAATCCCTACAATGGTCAGACATTGATTATGGGCCATATTTTGGGTATAGGCATCTTTATCAAGATATTTTTCTAGCATTATAAAAATGTTAACTTTTAAAGAATAAACAGATAAAACATAATACCAATTAAATTCTAACTTTTAAAAATTAAACTTTTAATTTTGATTAACTTGCTGTTGTAAGAAATAATTGAGAGAGATGCCAGGGACCCTGTTTTCTGTTTCCCTTAATGGTAACATCTTGCAAAACTATAGCACCGTGTTACAATAAGGATATTTATATTCGTGCAGTCAAAATGCTGACCATTTCCATGACCATAAGGATCCCTCATATTGCCCTCTTAAAGCCCTACCCACTCCCTGCTGTCCTTACCTTGCAGTTATCCCCTGGCAACCACAAATCTGTTCCGTATTTCTGTAAATGTATCATTCACAGATGTTTTTCCACATCCCTGTGAAATCACACAATATGTAATATGCTGGGATTGGCTTTTATCAGTTGGCCTACCTCTTGGAATACTCATCCCCCACCCCCAAGTTGATGCATACATCCATAGTTTCTTCCTTTTTATTTCTGTGCAGTATTCCACGATATGGATTTACCATAGCCTATTTAACCATTCACCTGTTGAAGAACATGTGGGTTGTTTTCAGTTTGGGGCCATTATGAACATAACATTAGTGTACAGGTTTATGTGAAATAAGTCTTCATTTCCCTGAGATAAAAACCCAAGAGTTCAATTGGTAGATGGTATGGGAGTTATGGTACATACATGTTTAATTCTTTAACAGACTGCCAAACTGTTTTCCAAAATGGATGTACAATTTTCCATTCCCAAAAGCAGTTTATGAGTAATCCATTTTCTATGCATCCTCACTGAAATTTCGTGTTGCCACTATTTTCTATTTTAGCCATTCTGACAAGTGTGTTATCTCATTGTAGTTTTAATTTGCATTTCCATAACAGTTCAACCATGTTGAATATCTTTTCACATGCTTATTTGCCTGGCCCCCTGCTTAGCCTTCCCTGACACTACCTTGAAGAAGGGATTGGGGCACTCCCAATCAGCTTTTGTTGGCATGGGTGGGTGTAGGAGTCACAGTCATTTCTGTGGTGTTAGGCTGGAGTAGAATAGTTACTATCTAAAAGGTTTTGGTCTCTTTAGGCTGTCCCTCTCCTGGTCCTTGGGCTAGAAGCAACAGGCTTATGTAGGGATTTTTAAAAATTGCATTCATTGGAATTTCTGGATTGCCAGCCTCTCCAGCTTTGAAGTGAGAACGTATGAAGCAAAAAGGAAACACAGTGAACTCATCATCATGCCACTCTTCTGGCCTTGAACTCCCTAGCTAGTCTCCTTCTCCTTTCCATCTTTTAGAATTTCTTATGTAATACCCAGAATTTTTGGTTGTACTTAGTGGGAGGGATAAAGTACTTCTCATCTTCTTATAAGTGGGAATCTCATAACAGTCTCATGTCTGCATATGTACTCTTTGATATGTTGATTAAATATTGATTTTAAGTATGATTCTTTTACTAGAAAAAACATTTGAAAACAAAGAAGGAAAGGAATTCTACTACAGCAAGCCACCAAAATGCCAGAGAAGGACAAGAGGTAAATCTTCACTGATCTAGTTATTAAAAGTTTTTTTAAATGAATGAAAGAGAACGGCAAGCTATTTTCTCTTACACTTCTTATACCCGAATTTTCCCCCAGGAGAAGTAAAATTTTGTTCATATTATTTACTGTTTATAAAAACACAAAAGATCCTTGACAGATGAGAGGTGGCCCTTATTAAGATGCCATATTTAAATTTCATTTGTACTTTTACCTTACTCTAAAAAGTATTTGAGGAAGCTTACAAAGATGCATCCAGGGTAGCAAGAATAAAGAAATTAAGAAAAATTAAATGGGAATATAAGGGTATAAAAATAAAAATAGTGGAACTGAAAGATCAGCTTCTACCATGACAGCAGGAAAAGCTCTGCAAACCCATTCACCAGCAAAACTAGTGAAATTATCCACAACAACAACAAACAACAACAGATATTTAAAGTCTCTGAAATGGTCTGAAGGTTATATAGCAAGTGAAACAAAAATCTATTCAAGAAAGTCTACTAAAATTCATTAAAAACTGTGAGAGCCTGTGGTATTTCAATCAAGACTGCCTCTTCCCCTCCCCCCACCGGACTCCCCAGCTCAGTAAGACAGAAACTCCACACTAGTGTAGACAAGAAGTTAGGGCTCCCTCTCCCCAGAGCTACCAAAGGGCTATCTCAGGAGGGGCAGAATATCAGTGTTTCTTATTCTTCCGCCAGCTGCCTGTTGCTAAGTCAGGTGAGTGCCGACAAGAGATGGGGGCTGCCTTCCTCTCCCAGTCCCCATTGATGAGACAGAGGCTCTACTTCAGGTGCTCCACCACTGAGCATTCTTGGGCTGATTGCCCTTATCTTGGTTTGTAAAATGATGGTTCCACACTGGGAGAGGCAAATGGAGGAGACCTAAGGCTACTGCCTCCCCTGCACCTACAGTTCAGCTCCTAAAGCAGGGTATCACTTGGAGGGAAGAGTGCTATTTCCGCCACCCCCAGCTCATAAGCCATAGCTTATAAATTTTGCCCTGATGAAAAACTAGGTCATAAAACAGATAGCTCCTAATCTCTTCCAGAAAAAGAGAAGTTAAGCTTAAGGACAGTCTCAAAACCAGTGCAATTAATGGCTTAAAAAAAAATTCTGGAGGACAAATATATTACTGGTGGAAGTTATCTTACCAGCAGCAAATCTGTACGGGTCTGCAGCAGCATCAGTTCTTGCCTTCCACTCCTGCCCTAAAACTTGCTTCAGCCTCTTTTTCTGCCTCATGCCCTGGAGTCAAATCTTAAAAAGTTCATATACCAGTTAAATTCTGCCATTTTGTTTCTTACTACGCATGCTTGAGCCCACGCCTGAGATCTCATCAGGAAGCAGCTGATCACTAGTCTCAGGTGTTTCCTATCTGTAGGAAGACTACCTTTCCCTGCTGCTGGCTGCAACCAATTACTATTTTAGAGAGACAGTTAACCGCCTGACCATCACTTGATGCCTGACATTCCTAGTGGGGTTTTGGTGGAGCCCTCTCCTGCCCTGCTCATGCCTTATTAGCTACCTACTGTAACAACACTGGTAGATTCATTGGAGCTACAAGCTAAATTGAATACTGACTAGTTTGCCAGAGAGAACTGGAGAAAGAAACAGCTAGGAGGAGCCTTACTGGAGTCAGAAAAAATCTTAAACACTGACCTCTGCAACTATCCTTTTGAAGAAGTCCAAATTTGATTGAATTAGTCTGAAGAGCAGAGCTGAATGTGGTCAGGGAAAGAGACAAAGAGAGCCCTGCCTTAGCACTGTCATCCCAAGTGAATGTGGATATACCTAAGTCTGTACCCCTGAGGACCAACATCAGAGGCTTAGTACTGCAGGGAGCAGAGATGGCTATAAAGGAGTGATGCTCCTTTCCCTCTGCTCTCCCTTCTAGAATTACATTATTTCAGGAATGTCATATGAATAGGAATTAAAAATTTTTTTTGGTAAACAAATCCTCTCATTGATACCCCTGTGTTAAGTCATTTGCAGGACCCAATAACCAAAATAGGTTTTGTTAGGGGATTTTTTTTTAATGTATGTATTGCAAGACACATATTTATTTAGTTCTCACAAATATATCCATAGAGTGGTTTTCTTCACCTATCCAAGCTACATTTAATGTAAAATATTATAAATCCCTTTATATTAAATGCTCATATATTTGCATCTTTCTTGATTGGAGCTTTTAAAATTGTATGAAATCATTATATTTAATGTTAGATACTTCCAAATGGAAAATAATCTTCATTTGGTCAAATGCTTTGAGCAAGTTGCATACATTCTAAGTCTGCCCATAAGCTAACAGGAGATTGTGGTCACTTACCTTGAAATTCCTACCCATCTTTCACAGAAAGAGTGAACAATCTCATTTTCACTCAGGTAAATGGCTGAGGGCAACTTAAATTCATGCTCTTGAACTGACTATTTCTTACTTTGTTTGCTTATAAGATATCAATACATCCCTAAAATAATATTGGTAAAATTTTAAAATATTTCAGTTAACTTTGTTTCCCACCATGACACTCACTTGTTGATTCTGAAGACTTTCAACAAAAACAATTATAAATTACTGTGATTAGAAATTGTAGCTCATGTACATAAGATCACTGACCTAGTGATATTTTTCTGTAGGATAAGTGTAATCGTTTATTATGGCTCACAGAATCATTTCACTCAAGAGATGGGAGCCAAAAATTACAAGAGTTTATCAAATCAAGTCTTACTAATTTTCTTCAGCCTGATTTCACTCCTTGTCTTGCCAATGCCTGGTGATTACATAATATCACTACTTTTAAATTTGCGTAATTTTTTCTAGAATGTTTCTTTCTTCAATAATCAAATTTTGATATTTACATTTTTCTCCCATTTTCATACTGATTTTGCCCATTTTTTTTGCTGCAAATCAATTATATATATGAAGAGGTGGGTTTGAGCTTTTAACTCCATTTCATAGTCTACTTTTATTATGGGTTGTTTTTGGTTTTGTTTTGTTTTTTGAGATGGAGTCTAGCTCTGTCGCCCAGGCTGGAGTGCAGCAGCGCAATCTCAGCTCACTGCAACCTCTGCCTCCCAGGTTCAAGCGATTCTCCTGTCTCAGCCTTCCAAGTAGCTGGGATTACAGGCACACGCCACCACGCACGGCTATTTTTTGTATTTTTAGTAGAAACGGGGTTTCACCATGTTGGCCAGGCTTGTCTCGAACTCCTGACCTCAAGTGATCCGCCCGCCTCGGCCTCCCTAAGTACTAGGATTACAGGTGTGCACCGTGCCCGGCCTCATCTTTTTATATATAAGCACAATTTTGCAATCTGTTTATATATTTTACGTAATTTTATATCTTTTCACCCATTTCACACTTTTATCTTCCCATATGTTTGTTCTTCTAATTTAAGTAAGTGAGATTATAAGAATACCGTTTTTTTGGTCTCTTTCTTATTACAAATAAATTCTATGTGATGTGGAAAAATTTTAAGCCTCCTTTACTGCCAAAATATAGTATCAATATTTTCTTCTACTCATTGATGCAGGAGAATAGTGTAGTGAAAAATATTAGAAGATTCTGATTTATAAGATAATTTTGGTCATTCTAAACCTGTAAGGATGAAATGAGGAATATTTGTTAAAAATGCACAATACTATAAATCGTATAGGAAATATACCCCATTTCATGTTGATAAAATAGCATTGTTTTCCTTGATTCTACATTCCATTAGGTTTATGATAGAGGACATTTACTGCAAAGGCACAAACAATCAAATTCTGATGTGAAAGGTAATATTCTGCTTCTACCTTCTCATAAACAGTTAATTCATTTACTCATCTAGGAATTGTTGGTGCCACAACTTTGAGGCTGCCACTGTGCTTGGTGCTAGGGATATTAAATGTATATGATACCATTTCATCCCTGCAGGACCTCATCCTTTAATCAGGAAAGAAACAAGCCAAGTGCAGTGTCATAGACGCAATGCCAGTAGTCTGTTCAGGGTCCCCAGGGAGCACAGGGAAAGGAGTGGTTAATTACATTGGAGAATAGAGAGGTCCACGTATTTGAGGGCTATCACCAAGGTTTTGAAAGTTTGCCCCCAAAGGGAAAGGGATTTTATGTTTTAAAAACCATCTTTTTCCTCCCATTTCATAATTTAATAGAAGATGAGCCCAGGAGACAAATTAATTCATAGACTGTTCATTGGCTTCTACTGCAACCTGCTAAGTCTGATGTGAATCTTTAACTGACGCTCTAGCATCACTGGTTTTTTTTTTTTTCTTTCTTAATTTCTGTCATCTTATCTTTAGTTGAGGTCCTTTGCAGGGGGAATCATATAATTTAGGCAATATTTTAATTTTATCTAAAATACTTAATTTTATGTGTGTATATATATATTAATTTATTGTTCATTTTTATCTACCTATTTCCCAAAAGGATTTGAGGTAACCTAATTACACACACACACACACACACAGACACACTCATATATCCATTTAGTTTATGATGTAGCAAAATAATAAAAAATATAAATGGAGATAAGAACTTAAGAACCATGCCAAGGAAAGGGGAGAATACTATTATAATTAAAATAGTCAATTCACTTAAACTTTATTTTTTCTGATAATGGTCAGCTAGGCATATTCAGCTGCTTTTTATAAGTAGCTTTTATGTATTCTTTTGTTAACATTTTACTGTCAAAAATTAAAAATAAAGATAAGCAAAAGAAAGCAAAAATTACATTTTAGAATTTTTTTTAAACGCTTTCCCATATTCATCCACATACACACCATGTTAATGAATCACATAATCATCGCATTATTTTGCAACTTACTTTTTAATTTTAAATTCCAGTATATTATAAACCTCTTCATATGTAAATAAATGGTGGCAAAGTATTCCATTCTATTAATTAAGCCATCCCCAGTGTTAAACTTACATTTTGTTTCCAATTTTTTTCCTATTGTAAACAACAATGAAAACTTTATAACTCTCTATTTGTGTGTTTTCTTAATTATTTCTTTATAACAAATTCCTAGAAAAGGAATTGCTGACCCAAAAGGTATGAACATTTTTAAATGCAACAAAAATTTGTAACATTTGAAGACTGCTTATTTTAATTTCACTGAACTAAACTGCTGTCTACAAGTTATTTACTAGCATTTGTCACTTTGAAAAAAGATGAAAAATATGAAATGTAAATGGACGAATTAATTATTTTCATGCTACTATGATCTTTATCATCTTCTCTAGATACAAGGCCAAATGAACCAGGTGATTATATGGTTGATTATTTCAGAAGACAGTTACCTAATCAAGGTTTGGGTGAGTAAAATAGGCACAGACAGTAATGAGTGGTTCCCTATGATCTGAATGTTATTTTTCTCTCTAGCTCTAGAAAGACACAGGGGAAACAGTAGAAATTTACTGTATGTCAATTTGCTTTCTTTTAATTTCATCCAGTCAAAACCAAAACAAAAGAATATTCATCTCATTGTCTAATCTTTTCATTCGCATCTCACCAAGTCTTAGAGCAGAGAGAGGCCTTGAGAGTGCTCTAGTCTCACCTGCTCATGACAGGCCCCAGGCTCATCCAGCCTCTGGCTGACTACACTTGGTGACAAGTACTTTACTAAACTGCAGTATAATTCATTCCATTGCTAAAGAGCTATAGCATTGAAAAAGTTTATTTTCAATAAACTTTAACAATAAAAAGTTTAAAATACATGTCCTTGTAAATTTCATCCACTTCTTTTAATCTGTCCTCTCTAATAACACAAAATAGTGAAGAAACCTTAAAGGTAGATAATTTTGACTGATGCAGTTTCCCCAATTCTCCTTGAAATAATGCAATTGTAATACCTTCTCTGTTTTTTTAAAAAGTTGTCATTTATTTCCCTGAAACGTTCTGTGTTTCTTTCAACCATCCATAACACACCGTGATTCAAGTCCCTTTACCATTTTATTTTACTTTTTTTTGTTGCTATTCAAGCTTAAATGAAACTGAGCACAGTATTGTAGATGTTATCTAATGAGTGCAAAATATATCTTCATTTTTATTTGCTCCTTTATAGATACTAGGTTTCCATTAATGCGGTTTAAGATTATATTTCTTCTTTTGAAAATTATCCTAAAATATTGACATATTGGATTTCATATATTCAAACCTTTAACGTTTTATTTTCATAGTGCTACTGCTAAGTTGTATTTCCTCCATTCTCTACTTCTTCACTTGCTATTTGGTTCATTATGCTTGACCTTAAATTTATTCCTGTTAAATTTAAATTTAACGTTCTTAGATTCAGCCTTTCACGAACTATTGATCTTTATTATGTCATATTGTTATACTCTATATATATATGCATGTGTGAATACATATGTGCGTATATATACATACATGCATATGCATATACATAGATACATATATTTGACCTCTTGTCAAAGCTTCAGACCCTGTATGTAACTATCTGCTATACATCTCCACACAGCTGTCTCACATATCCAAATTCAAATTCATCTAATTCCACACTAAATACTCTTCCTCACATATTCTCAATAACATTGATGGCAGTACTATCTCTATAACCACTCCAGCTACAAATCTGATCGGTATCCTTTTTTCTCACTTTCACTTCTGTCGCCCATATCCAGTCAACCACTGAATCCAGATGATTTTACCTCAGAATCTCTTTTTCTCTATCTTGACTACCATCATTAACTACCATCATTCTTTTCAGATTCTTATCATCATCCACTTACCAGAAGTACTACAGTTTTCTAGTCCGTCTCCCTGCCATCAATATTGTCATTCTAATTACACCCTTCATACTACCATCGAAGTGATTTACCAGAAACACAAATCCGACTATGCAACATCACCACCTAAAGCCTTTTAGTGATTCCCAGTCATCTAACAGGGGCTGGACTGACACTGCCCTAAGACTGGCACTGGCTTTTCTTTAGGCTTTCTCTTTCTCATTTTAATTTCTTTTTACACTTAATTTTAAAATAATTTCAAGAATAGTAAAAAAAACTTTCTCTGTCTATTAAAATAATCAGTCTATCTTTTTTCCCATTATCCACAAGTTGTAGCATGCTCTTGTACCCCTAAAAACCTCCACCTATATTCTCTAAGAAAAAGAACATTCTCTTACATTAAAATCAGGAAATTCAACTTGATACAACACGATTTTGTATCATATGTAATACAATTTTGCCAAATGTCCCAATAGTGTTCTTTAGAGCAAACTTACTATCTAATTCAAGGTGTAATTCAGGATCGTGAATTGCACTGAATTATCATATTTCTTTATTCTCTTTATTTGGAACATTGGCTCAGCCTTTCTTTGTCATTCGCAACACCATCATTTTTAAAGATTATTGGCAAGTCGTCTTATAGAATATCTGGTTTTAAAATTTTCATGAACAAAAGAATTACCAAAAGAGTTTATGTAAATCTCAGCTTCTGACTGAGTAGGTCTTTGATGTCACCCCTTAATTTGTATTGTTTATATGGGATTTCAGATAATTCTGGCATTGATGGCCTGCAGACCACACTTTGCAAGTTACCACTATGGGGGCCACAGTGAAAATTGGTTGGAGGCCAAGCAGTTGGGGCCTAGCCCATCTTGAATAGCTTTCTTATGTAATTTTCTTTCAATAATGGTCTATTACTCAAAGTTTTTTCCTTTTATTATTATTTTTAGTTGACATAATAATTGTACCAAGTCTATTTCATCCTGAATAGTTTTCTTATGCAATGTTTCTTTCAATAATGGTCTATAACTCAAAATTTTTTCCTTTTATTATTATTTTTAGTTGATGTAATAATTGTACATATGGGGTACAGTGTGATATTCTGATTCATATATGCAATGTATAATGATCAAATTGAGGTAATTAGCATCACCTCAAACAGTTATCATTTCTTTGTGTTTGGTACATTCAAAATCTGCTCTCCTAGCTATTTGAAAATACATAATAAATTGTTAATTATAGTCACTCTATAGTTCTATGGAACACTAGTCCCTATTCCTCCTATGTAGCTGCAATTAGTATCTGTTAAGCAACCTTTGACTATCTTTCCACCCCCATCCCTCTGTGCTTCTATTAACCACTATTCTATACTCTACTTCTATGAGATCAACTTTTTAAGCTTCCACATATGAATGAGAACATGCAGTATTTATATTCCTGTGGCTGGCTTATTTCACTTAACGTAATGTCCTCCAAGCTCATCAATGTTGCCACAAATGACAGAATTTTGTTCTTGTTTATGGTTAAATACCATTCCATTGTGTATATATACCATATTTTCTTTATCATTTCATCTGTTGATGGACACTTAAGTTGATTCCATATCTTGGCTGTTGTGAATAGTGCTGCAATGACCATGAGAGTGCAGATATCTCTTTGACATACTGATTTCATTCTTTTTGGATATATACCCAGTAGTAGGATTGCTGTATCATATGGTAGTTCTGTTTTTAGTTTTCTGGGTAACCTCCATATTATTCTCCAAATGACTGCATAAATTTGCATTCCCACCAAAATTGTGCAGGGATTCGCTTTTCTCCACATCCTCTCCAATACTTATTATCTTTTATCTTTTTGATAATAGCTATTCTAACAGATATGAGATCATGTCACCTTGTGGTTTTAATTTGCATTTCTCTGATGATTAGTGCTGTTGAGCATTGTTCCATATACCTGTTGGCCGTTTGTATGTCTTCTTTTCAGAGATGTCTGTTCAGCTCATTTGCCCATTTTTAAAGTAGGTTATTTTTGTTTATTTTTGCTATTGAGGTAAGTTCCTTATATATTCTGTATATTAATCCCTTGTCAGATAATTTGCAAATGTTTTCTCTCATTTTTCAGGTTATCTCATCACTCTGTTGATTGCTTCCTTTGCTGTGCAAAAGATTTTCAGTTTGATAGAATTCCATTTGCCTATATTTGCTTTAGTTGCTTGGGCTTTTGAGGTCTTATCCATAAAATCTTTCATCAGACCAATGTCCTGAAGCATTTCCCTCATGTTTTCTTCTGGTAGTTTCATAGTTTGGGGTCTTACATTTAAGTTCTTAGTCCATTTTGAACTGACCTTTTTTACAGTGAGAGATAGGAGTCCAGTTTCATTTTTCTGTATTTTGATATCTAGTTCTCCTGGCACAGTTTATTGAAGAGAATATCATTCCCCTATGAATGTTCTTGGCACCTTTGTCAAATATCAGTTTTCTGTAAATAAGTAGATTTATTTTGGAGTTCTCTGTTCTGTCTCATTGGTCTGCATATCTGTTTTTATGTTTTTAACCATGCTGGTTTGATTACTATTGCCTTCATTTTGAAGTCTGGTAGTGTGATCCCTCCAGATTTATCCTTTTTGCTATTTGGGGTCTTCTGTGGTTCTGTACAAATTTTAGGATTGTTTTTTCCATTTCTGTGAAGAATATTATTGGTATTTTGATAGGGAGTGCATTGAATCAACAGATAACTTTGGATAGTATGGATATTTTCACACTGTTAAGTCTTCCAGTCCATGAACATGGGATGTCTATTTGTATCTTCCTCAATTTTTTTCATCAGTGTTTTATAGTTTTCCTTGTAGAGATATTTCACCTCTTTGGCTAAATTTATTCCTAGGTATTATTTTTTGTAGCTATTGTAAATGGGATTGCTTTCTTGATTTCTTCTTTTGATGGTTTGTTGGTGGGGTATAGAAATACCACTGATCTTTATATGTTGGTTTTGTATCCTTCAACTTTACTAAATTTATCAGTTCTAGGAGTATTTGATAGAGCTTTTAGGGTTTTCTGTATATAAGCTCATGTCATCTGCAAACAGGGACAATTTGACTTCCTTCTTTCCAGTTTGGATGCCCTTTATTTCTTTCTCTTGCCTATTTGCTTTGGCCAGAACTTTCATTACTATGTTGAACAAAAGTAAGCATCATTATCTTGTTCCATATCTTAGGGGAAAAGCTTTCAACTTTTCCTCACTCAGTATGATAGTGGGTGTGGGTTTGTCTTGTATGGCCTTTATTGTGTTGAGGTACATTCCTTCCATACCTTATTTGGTGAGAGTTTCTGTCACAAAGAGATGTTGAATTTTATCAAATGCTTTTTCTGCATATATTGAGATGATCATAGGGTTTCTGTCCTCCATTTTGTTGATGTGATGTATCACGTTTATCAATGTGTGTATATCGATTCATCCTTGTATCCCTGGGATGAATTCCACTTGATCATGGTGAATAATTTTTTCAGTGTGCTTCTGGATTTAGGAGATTTGGTTTGTTAGTATTTTTTTGAGGATTTTTACATCTTTTT